CTGCAGATCGCTGCTTCGTCGCGCCAAACCCTAAACCCTAAACCCTAAACCCTAAATCAGCGAATTCGCCTTCGTTTGGCGCCTGCTCAAGCGGGGTTTCCCCCGCCCGGGACCCTGGCCATTGTAGCTCATTTAATTAGTTGTGAATTAATTAATTAATTAATTAATTAATTAATTAATTAAGTTTTTATCTTCTTGTTCAATCCCCTCCAGCAGGCGCCGCCGCGCAGGGCCCCGGGCCTGCGCAGCAAATCAACCGCAATGCAGCAGCAGCAGCAGCAGCAGCAGCAGTGTATTTAAATGTTTATCTGCTGCTGCTTCAGTGTACAGACACCCCATATCCGACAGGAGACCCTCCGCCCTGCAGCCCTAGGGTTTAGGGTTTGTGGCCCGGGCTCCAGGGTTATCGTCAAGGGTTTTGAGGGTTTAGGGTTTAGGGTTTAGGGTTTAGGGTTTGCGATGGGGTGCACGCATTCTTCTCGGCGGGGTAGCGTGCCCTTCTCCAGCAGCTCGAGTGCATGCAGCAGGAGCTTCAAATATGAAAAGCAGCAGCAGCAGCAGCAGCAGCAGCAGCAGCTGCTGCTGCTGCAGCACCACGACCATGCTTCTACAGAACGCAGCACAGCTTCAGGTGTACGTACAGCAGCAACACGAGCAAGCACTGCTGGCAGCCCCCAGGGGCCCCAGATAACAGACCCAGCAGCAGCAGCAGCAGCAGCAGCAGCAACAGCAGCAGCAGCAGAGGCTACAGCTGACCCTCCCCAGTCGTCGACCGCAGCAGCAGCAGCGCCAGCAGCAGCGCCAGCAGCAGCGCCAGCAGCAGCGCCAGCAGCAGCGCCGGCAGCGCCAGCAGGAGCAGCAGCAGCGCCAGCAGCGCCAGCAGCGCCAGCAGCAGCAGCAGCAGCGCCAGCAGCAGCAGCAGCAGCGCCAGCAGCAGCAGCAGCAGCGCCAGCAGCAGCAGCAACGTCAGTAGGATCCCGAATTATCCGCTTTTTAAGGAAGCGTCCACCGAAGACAAATCCCAAATGGCAGCAGCAGCCGCAGCAGCAGCAGCAGCAGCAGCAGCTGGCGAAGGAACCGCAGCAGCAACAGCCTCAGCAGCAGCTGCTGCAGCAGCAGAAGCAGCAGCAGCTCCCACAGTGGAGGTCCCAGCAGCAGCTGCTGCAGCAGCAGCAGCAGCACTGGCAGCAGCAGGGAAGGCCCAAAAGCATACAGCTAAGGCGGGGCCGCTCTTTGCTGCAGAGCAGCCCCAGGGTTAGACGCCCTGCTGCTGCTGCTGCTACTTTTGCTGCTGCTGCTCCTGCCTGTGCTTCTGCTGCTGCTGCTCCTCCTCCTGCTGCCAGCAGCAGCAGCAACAGGAAAGCTCACAGCTGCTGCTCCCCGCAACTCGACTCCCTCAACTCCTCCAGCGACGCGGTGAACCCTAAACCCTAAACCCTAAACCCTGGACGCTAAACCCTAAACCCTTTAATTGTCTCTGTGGACTACTTTATTCGCTAGGGGCGCCGAAGGCATGTTTTTGTTGAGGGTTTAAAGCGCAGGCTCAGGGTTCTAGGGTTTAGGGTTTAGGGTTTAGGGTTTAGGGTTTAGAAGCGCTGGTTCCAGGGGAAGCGCCCCACTTCCAGGTCCCCTGAAATACATTTCAGGAGGGTTCACGGCCTAAAGCACAAAACTTGGTGTTTAGGGTTTAGGGTTTAGGGTTTAGGGTTTAGGGTTTAGGGTTTAGGGTTTAGGGTTTAGGGTTTAGGGTTTAGGGTTTGCGTGCAGGGTTCGGAGGCGTCTGCGGGCTGCCCCCTTTTTTTGTCTCTTTACCGCCAGCCCCTTTTCTCTTCGAGATTAAAAACAAATGCCAACTTCGACGACTTCTACAAACTCACCAACCACGTCCTCGGCACAGGTCTGCTGCTGCTGCTGCTGCTGCTGCTGCTGCTGCTGCTGCTGCTGCTGCTGTTGCTGGTGCTGGTGTGGGTGTTGGTGCTGCTGCGGGAGGTGGTGCTGGTGTGCTGCTGCTTGGTGTGGCGGTGTTGCTGCTGCTGCTGCTGCCGCTGCTGCTGGTGTGTGTGCCGCTGCTGCTGCTGCAGCTGCTGTAGGTCGTGCTGCTGCTGCTGCTGCTGCTGCAGCAGCACAACGCTGCGTTGCCAATCCTCACAGACGTTCGATGCGGACTTGGTTCTTCAACCAGGAAAAAGAAAAAAAGAAATAA